GGCACTGCAGGCGGCAGCTTTACCTGCTATGTCACAGTGCCAGCCCCAATAAATCTTTTTAAAAATGAAGTGGCCCATCCTTACAAGTCTCACCTGGGAGCAGAGAAGGCCTAGCCAGCCAGTCCTGTGGCCCTCAGGGGGTCAACTCACACATTTTTGGGCGACCACAGCCTACCCAGACCAGCACAGCTAGGGTAGGACCAATGCTGGTGGTGCTATGGTCTGTCTGTCTGTTGCTGGGGTAGACTCTTAGCCCATGCCCACTGCAACTAGCCACCAGGGATGCTGGCTAGAGTGCTAGTTTAATTGCCTGGAGCCACGGGACTCCACCTGGGTATTAGCCTGGGGATAGGGACTGGTAGGGTGTGTTGGGTTTTTCCAGCCCAGCCAGCATTGAATTCCAATAGACACTCCTATGAGTCTTTGCTGTCTGCCCCAGGATGGCAGAATATAAAGGCAGCACCTTGGTCACCCAGGCTAGCACTAAGCTATGTCACACCTGAGACTCACAGTCACCAGGCTCTGCACAATCTTGGGGGTACAGCCAGGGCCATGTGAGGTTGGCAGTGGTACAAGTTTGTCCCACCAGGGCGAGGTTGCAGCAAATATGGGGACAGAGGCCTTGGGTTTGGTCAAGTGCTGGATCTCACCGAAGTAACCTAGCTATGAGCTCCACTACAAGTCCCTAAATTTCTTTTCCTGCATTACCCTTCCCTCCTATCCTGTCTTGCTTGACTGCCTACGGGACTTCGGAAAGGGACAGCAGGCACATTCCTTCAGCCACCCGGCTAAGGAGAGGCTAAAACTCAGGTGTGAGCCTAGGGGCAGTTTGTATTGTGGGGAGGGGAGCACTGGATTTCAGGTCTAAGGTCTGGACATAACCCTGCACCCCCACTGGCCCCCGCCAGGCAGATGTCATCTCTCTCTCCCCGCTGCGCTGTTTGCTGCTGTGGGAGGAGCGACCTGCACAACTCTTTCCCTTCCGCTTTCTTCAATGAGCCTTTTCTTCTCATTACACTGAGACCAGGCACTGTGGCCTTCCACCTGGCTTCTGAGACTCCAGTGAAGGCGATGTGGTACATGCGTTGCTGTTCAAACTGGTGTCTCTGTGGGGAGATCACTTGAGCATCTTACATAGCCACCATCTTGCTCTGCCTCCACATGCACTTTGGTTTTCTTTGAAAGAGTTACAGAGAGAGAGAGAGAGAGAGAGAGAGAGAGAGAGAGAGAATCTTCCATCTGCTGGTTTACTCCATAGTGACCATTACTCCATAATGACCATAATAACCAGGGCCGGGCCAGGCTGAACCAGGAGCTAGGAGCCTCTTCCGGGTCTCCCACATGGGTGCAGGGGCCCAAGCATTTGGGCCATCCTCCACTGCTTTCCCAGGCACATTAGTACAGAGCTGGATCAGAAGTGGAGCAGCCAGGACTCAAACTGGCACCCATATGGGATGCGGGCGTTGCAGGCAGTGGCTTTACCCACTACACCACAGCGCCAGCCTCTCCACATGGCCTTTGTAGTGGCTCATCAGAGCAGCAGTGAAGTCCTCCAAAGCCTTCCCTCCACAGACATTTCACTCCAGGAAACCCAGGGCTGGTTTATGAAGATGTCTTCCTCTGCATGTTGTGGCTTTGTAGTGCCCCCTTCTCAAAAGCCAGAGCTCACTACTTTAAAACCCCATCAACAACAGAGACCCAAACAGGGAGATCTGTCTCTCCCAGGTCCTCAAGCCTGGAGGTGGGTGTTTCAAGGCTGATGGCAGCCCCACATGGTCCTCAGCCAGCTCCTTCATCTTCCTTCAATGTTGTATGTGGTAGATGGCTCCTGCCCACACAGTGGCTTCACATTACATTGGGCCTATTAGTGTGCCAGCCATCACGTAGAAGTTCTAGAGAGAATGAAAAGAAAAGGAAGAAAGCGCAGAGTGTCTGGCCGTGAAGTAAGCATGCTTTTAGAAAGTTTTCTTGTAAGTTCTACCAAGTGACTATAGCTTATATCTTACTGGCCACCCAGAGAAAGGCTTGAAATGTAGGCTGGGAAATGTGGTTCTGTAACCAGACACATGGCCAGGCACAGCTACATACGGGGTTCTTTTTGGCAAAAACGAGCAGAGAACAGGTGCCAGGAGGTAGCTCTGTCTTAAAGTGCTGAAGCATTTTCTAGATCTGCACTATCCCGTATGATGTCACTTGTATGTGGCTACATGAATGTAAATTAGAATTCAATAAAAAGTCAGCTTTTGAGCATACTCTTCACATCTTTAGAGCTGGTGGCTACCCTATTGGACAGCATACACCTCAATGTGGCCGTTACTACAGAAAGTTCTGTTGGGAATCACTGTCCCCATAGCTACACATCAGCATTTTATTCTTTTGGAGGGGATTTCTTACAACTGTGAAAGTTAAAGATGAGGTGGAGAAGCTGGTAGAGCTTGCTGACAATGGTGCAGAGGCAAGTGGGGGTGAGAGAGAGGAGAGAAGGGAGATGGAGTATCAACTGGCGACTGTGGAGCTTCACACTTCAAGCTTGATGACAGCAGAGAGAAACTAGGTTTGGCATTCTGGTCCCCTGAGGAGCGGCAGTGGGCACTCACATCTGGTTCCAGTGGGCTGATTGCGCCATCGGGAGGAGATGAAGAGACAGAAGCCAGCACTTGGCGATGACTCCTTCAGCATTCCCAGCGTAGATTCCAGCAGAGAACCAGGGTCACAAGTTGAGGAAGACTCAGGGAAGGACTGCTCTTGGACTTGTGGTTTGCAGGTTTCCCGCTTTTCCCCCCGGGGTGGGTAGCTTTGAGTGTGGCTGTAGGCGAACATAAGGGTTCCTCAAAGAGGAAAAGATGTATGACAGGAGAGGGGAATGTTAGTGGAGCCATTTGCTGTTGCTATGACGAAAATACCCACAATCGGGTAACTCATAAGGTTGTTTCTTTGGCTCACAGTTCTGAAAGCTGGCACATCTAAAGGTACAACATGAGCCTCTGGGAAGGATCTCACTGCTGCGTCACAGCCCGGCAGAGGGCGTCACATGTGAGACGGAGCAACCGTGCTAGCTCCGGTCTCCCCCCGTCTCCTAGAATTACTAATGCCATCTGATCTCCCCACAGTGCCAGGTTTTGAAGAGAACTCACAACATGGCCAGGCCATCCTTCTGGCCCTTGTTGTGATCTATGAGCCTAGATGTGGTCCCTAGGATGTGCTTCGATGTGGTAGAGAGAAGGATGGGGAAAACCAGACAGCATGAGCGGGGAAGGGAGCGGAGTGAACATATTCCTTGATGGACTGTAATTCTGGAGAAACAGCCAACTATTGCGTGGGAAAGAAAAGGAGATGGCTCAGTCTAAGGAAAATGAAAAAGAGCTAGAAAAGGCTGATGGTGAATGGAAAAGAGGCCAGAGTTTCAGGAAAAGAGTGACAGGAACATCACATGGACTCAGCAAATGTCTTCTGGTTCTGAGAAGCATTCTGCCTGTCTGAATACTGATGCGACTATTATTGTAAGTACTGTGTATTCAGTCTTGTTGAGTGTGAGGCCCGGGCTGTGCAGTTGAGTGCATCATCTCGTTCAGTCCTCCCAACAGCCTTTAGGCTGGGGCTGGTCCTACCCCCATTTTACAGATGAGCAAGGACAGACGGAAATGAAGACGGTGCCGAGTCCTTGCTTGACCGCCTGTTTTGTTGTGGAACCCGGGCAGTTTATGTCATCTGTTAAAGCCTCAGATTCTTCTTGGAGAAACAGAGATAAGTCTATTTTCTAAAATGGGGCCATGAAATGAGATAATATGTATTAAAGAGCCTACTACAGGCTGGGTGTGTGACTTTTCAAATAAACAAACAAAAAATCATAGACCATGAACCATTGCTGAGCTAACCGTGTGTTCAAGGTCATCCTGATTTGAGTCTGTATGCCCTCCCCCAGATGTGGCCTTCTAGGAGGATCTATGTTAAATTCTGCTCCTCGGCAGGGATCATAAAACAGTGGTGCAGCGTGGTATAAAAAATAATAGTTAAAAAAAATTAGGAAGCAGCAGGAATAGGCATGGTGGCCTTCAGACACACTGTGGAGTCAAAGAAAGCTCCTCCTACCCCATGCTCGCTCTGGCACACACATGCTGCCAGCTTAGAGAATCGTGAGGGTCCCTAGATTCCACTTGCCTTTTTTTTTTTTTTTTTTGACAGGCAGAGTGGACAGTGAGAGAGAGAGACAGAGAGAAAGGTCTTCCTTTTCCATTGGTTCACCCCCGAATGGCGGCTGCGGCCGGCACACCGCGCTGATCCGAAGCCAGGAGCCAGGTGCTTCCTCCTGGTCTCCCATGTGGGTGCAGGGCCCAAGGATTTGGGCCATCCTCCACTGCACTCCCTTGCCACAGTAGAGAGCTGGACAGGAAGAGGGGTGACCAGGACAGAATCCGGCGCCCTGACTGGGACTAGAACCGGGTGTGCCGGCGCTGCAAGGCGGAGGATTAGCCTAGTGAGCCGCGGCGCCGGCCATCCACTTGCCTCTTACCTATCATGTGACTCCCAGTACCACAATGGGAAACTAGTCAATGATCTGCATCTCAGAGCTACTGCTGGGCCAAGCTGACTAAAACAGCCCAAGTGCTGTGTCACTGTTGGAGCTGGAGCCTAAGGATGTCTTTCCAGCACAGTGAGCACAGGTGAGGGCTGCAGGAAGCTGACTGCACAGCAGATGACAGGGACCTGGCAACAGGCACCTTCGGCAACAGATCTCAGCGCCCTTGTGAAGGCAATGAGTAACGAAGCTGTCTGCCTCCTGGTGAGCGGCAGGGCAGGCTAACACCACTTTTCTGCAGGTATGCTGAGAGACGGGCACCCGGGGAGAGGCAGGGCTAAGCCACATCCAGATGGAGATGACAGAGCCGGCCCCAGGTATGACTCACACACATTTCCTGCAAAGGCTCGCAATCACTTTCCTAGGCTAAAGCTGGCAACCCTGAAATCTCCCTGACCCCGAAGAAACACTCATCGCCCCGCTGTTGTGGTTGAAAACCGCTGCTCTTGTTTATTGGAAAAGCAGAACGTCATGCACCTGTAGGGATCCAGCTCCCCCAGTTCTCCAAGCGCCAGCTGCTCGCCACCCTTGGCCTCACCATTCCCGAGGGTGGGAGCAAGCCTGCTTTCATGAAACGTCCTCAGCAAGAATAAACTAGAAGGTGCAGCTTCTGTCATACCATACTAGGAAGACTATAGCTAAGAAAGTGGTGGCAGAAGCTTGCGGCGTGTGTGCCCTGGGCAGAAGTCCCCTTCCTATCCAATCCAGGGCACAGATGTCTCTCCCGCGGTACTAGGCTGTCACCTAGACTTGAGTGACACGAGGCTCCTCTCCCTAGACTGGCTGGCCAGAGCAAGAAGCACCCGGTTCTCCTAAAGGCAGAAGAGTAGAAATCTGACAGTCACTGCCATTTCCGCCGGAGATGACAGCATATCAGGCCCTGCAGTGTCTGCGGGGGCCTCTGGCTGGCAGATCCCGGTGAGGGGCCAGCGGTGACTGTTGGTCAAACAGCAGGGAAGGGCATCTGTTGGCTTGCAGGGCCATCAAGGGGAGAGGCGAGAGGCAGCCACTGAACCAACTTCGGATCAAATGTGCTTGAGTGGGAAGTACAGTGTGCTCCCTTTTTTACTGGCAGTACTGTCTTTCCAGTGAGGATAAAAGTGCTTTGCTCCTGCTAATGGCTAACCTAATAACAAGCATGCTGATGTGCAGACATGATCCTCAAGGTGTGGGCGGGCCTTGGGGAGCCAGGAGCAGGTGCATGTGTCAACACGCAGAGACAGCAATGCCTGCAACAAGCCTTCAGGGACCCGGATGGGAATCAGGTGAGGTCACCTTGATCCCAGTAGGTAAGGAGGTGTCTCTGGCAGCACAAGAGTCCAGAGCTGTTTTAGGCAGGGGGCATCTGACCTTGCATTCAGGACGCTAGAAGTAATGACTGAGCAAGCAAGTCAAGAGTTGAGCAGTGGTTGAGATGGTTCTCAGCTGCTTCCAATTTAGCACCGCCGGCTGCAACCCTCTGTCGACATCGTCTTCAACCTTAGGGAGCTGGTACCGGGAGGCAGGTGTAAATGAACTTGCTTCATTACCTGTTGCTGCCTCGTTCCCAACTCAGTTCCTTCAGCTGAATGAGCGAATCCAGCCTGAACCAGCCTCAGTTGACAGGGGACTGTTGGCTGCAGCTGGGTGGGGTTCGTGGATGGGCGTCCTCCTTTTAAAGACGCAGGCAAGCCGGCGGACGTTCCAGGGCTTGCTGGATCTGAGAGCTGACAGCCACACCGATTCTCTGCTGAGATGAAGGCTGAGCCACTTGCCACCTTGTACACAGAGCCCAAAGTAAACGCACTTCCGGGTTGCTCCTGGGAGGAAGCAGGCGAGCAGAGAGCACCCGGAGCATCCTGCTGCCTCTGGACTTCCAGGCAGGTGTTAGGGGCCAGGGCGGGAAAGGGCAGGGCGTGGAGGCGGAGGCCAGCGAGGTCAGTACCCACGGGGAAAATCAGATGTGCTTTTTTTTTTTTTTAATCCAAATAGACCTTACCAAGTGCATAATAAAAATTCCTACCAGGTTTGAAACAGGTGCACCTAACAAAAGCTCCGTCGTTCTCCCATCCCACCTCCCACCTGGAAAGGCGAGGCGGGCGCCGCAGCCCGGTGCACCTGCGCTACCCGCGCAGGTACGGGGCGCGCGGGGGCTCCCGCCCCAGGGCGTTGATGTGCGGGAGCGCGGCGGCCGCCGCCAGCTTCTCATTCAGCTTCTGGTTCACCAGCTCCAGGTGGCGGCCGTTCTTGCGCGCCTGCCGCAGCGACCGCTTGACCTTCTTGACTCGCTCGCGGAGCTGCTTGTTCCGCTTCTCCAGCGTGGCCACCTTCTGCTGCAGCTTCTTGACGTGGTCCTCTTCCTCAAACAGGGCCTTCTGCACCGAGGAGCACATGAGCTGGGGAGAGAAACCGCGCGGTGGGAGAGGCCGGTGAGTCACAGACATCCCCCCGGCCCCCCACGGCCTCCTACCCCCAGCCCCAGCCCAGGGTGGGGACACACCAAGGAAGGGCCCTGACCGTGACCTTCCTGGTCCTCTGCGCTGTGAGTCCCTCCCTGACCTCATACACACGGAACCCCTCTTTGTGCTGTTTTCCTTACTTGCATGGCTTTGGAGGACTGAGTGTTGAAATGCTGTTCCGAATAGCACAACGCAAGGAGTGCCTATGAGTATGTGCAAGACTAAAACTCGAAACCGAAAAAGAACAAGGCTGGGTAACTTAAGAGCCTCAACCCTACTCCTTAAGATATATATCTTAGTATATCTTATTTTACGTCTATATAAAATAAAGGCATTTTCTCACTTCCTCTTTCTGCCCCCACCTGTTTTCCATTAGAGTGATGCTTGCAGAGAAAGCCCTGAGCCTTGATTTTTTTCTTTTTCTTCTGCTTAGGTGTAACTTCTGCATTTGCAGACTCAACATGTCTCGGCTCAAAAATACTTGGGAAAAAATTCAGAAAGTTTCACAAAGTGATATTTTAACTTGCAGAGTGCCAAGAGCTAGGCTGAATCCATGTTATGAAGTGAGGTGTGGTCATACCTGTCATAGCTCCCCCCCATTCCATGGGTCCCCCTCTCTCTGGCCCCTGTTTGAATGTTTGCACTGTGTAGTTAGGCCTTTGGTTACACCTGTACTGAATAGGTAGACTTTTTTCCCCCCTTGTTAGTCCCTCAACACAGGGTAACAACTAGTTACATAGCTTTTGCATTGTGTCAGGGCATTATAACCTGGAGGTGATTTTAAGCATATGGGAGAATGTGTTGTTGAATGCAAATACTGTGTCATTTCATATAAGGGTCTCAAGCATTCATAGACTTTACTATCCATAGTAAGGGTCCTGGAGCCAATTCGCCAGGACATTACAATAGAGTGATGTGGTTAAAATCCAGACCGTGAGGCCAGGCTGCCCTGGTTTCAAGTTCAGCTTCTTCTGCTGGATGAGTTGTGTGACCTTGGGCAAATATTTTAAGCCCAGAACTGGAGTCAGTGCTTCATCAACCAGAGCCCCCTTTGGAATACAAGAATGTGTCCCCCCAACTTCCTGGAGTGCTACAGGCTGACAGCCCTCAGCTGGGTCTCTTCCCACAAACTGCCCCTAACTTCCAAGAACCATCCAAGGTCACACTCTTCTCTGGGGCACCAGTATCTGGTGGCAGATTGACACAGGGTGTAGAAGCCAGGACCGCCATGACAACACAGATGATCCCAGAAGGGCTGTCTCAGCCTTGCAGCATCCCATGGGGTGGGTTCCAGCCTTTGAGACTGCATCACAGGCCACCTTTTCCCTCTGCCCTGTCCTGCTTACCTCCCACCCTCTCCCTCTCCCCTCCCCTCCCCTCCCCAGGTGTTGATCCCAGGAGAATTCTCTAGAAAACTCTCATCTCAGTCTTTGGCCTGTAGCTGTTGACACTGTGGAGGAGTGGAGTGAGTGTGTGTGTGTGTGTGTGTGTGTCGGTACCACTGGCAAACAGCAGGCTCCTTAAGGCTTAGATCACGTTGGTCTTTGTAACGTTCTTGGTCTGGCCATTTTAATGTATGGTGAAAACTCTGAGCCAAGTGTGGTGATCCAAAAGCACTTGCCGTTTTAGTCAAGACCTTTGGGCTCCTGCATGTGTCATGGTTACAAGATGGACCACACACACAACACTGCCCTCTTCTGGTTGAAACAAGCCTCCTCCAACAGAAAAGGTGGACCCAACAAACTCCTAGGAGAACTATTAACTTCCCTGCACGTGCATTGATGTAATCTATGTCTCTTCCTGAAGGTTTGATGTGGCCAAGTAACTAGGCTAAGCACTTTCTATTCTCACATTAAGTCATGGTTTTGATAAGTTCTGATAGATTCTCAGCTCAGAACAGGATACAAGAGTCCAAGCAAAGTCTAGGAAGAAAGGCAGTAGTGTGCTAGGTGGTAACGCCATGGAGAACAGAAAGCATGGTTGACATGCTTCAAAAGATGCATTTTAAAGTGATAAACACATAGAAAGATGGTGATATCGAGGGCCCCTTGTTCATAGAGTGCTTTTTGAAGCATCAATACTCTTCACTGGCACTGCTCTGACTACGGGGACACCTGTTCCTGCCTTTGGGGAGCTTAGGATAACAGGATGAACTTCAACTCCAGCAAGAATAACACAGCACAGCTAAGCAGAGGAACTTGGCAATGACTTGAAGCCACGGTAGAGCAGAATGAGAACTTGGTAGCGGTTAGGGGTCGAGTTGTGTGTGTGTCTGTAGAGGGCATGATTAAGGTGGGGTCAGCGAGTTCCAAAGCAGAGTTGAGTTTGGGAGGAATGGCTGGGGTGACTGGAGTTACTTAGTGGGTATGTTCTTCTCTAGTACTCACAGCTTCTGTTTGGGAGCAAGAAGACACTGAAGGAGGCTAGTTATTTGTCCAGTATCAACAAGGAAGCCACGATCCAGGACTCCCTACCAGGCAGAGAGTCTGTCTCTCTGCAGCAAAGTGGGCTATGCCTCCATCAGGGAGTGCCTTGGCTGTGTGAGTGCAGCCTAATGCTATGCAGTAAGGAAGTCCCTGCCAATAATCCACACCAGGACTGCTGAGTCCTGTCACCTCCAAAGAAAAGGCCACCTTGCTTAAGGGGAGAACTTCTAGGGGAAATGTGTCTGTTTCCTTAAGAAACTCTCCTTTCTCTGAAATGCTTATCCGATGAAATCAGTCGCTTAAAAAGAATCAGGATGCATTATTCGCTTGTTTAGCCATGTGGTGTATTTTAGTGAACTGAGAGGAGAGGGGAAAACCAAGCCCAGTGGAAACAGGTACTGCTACCTTTTTTTTTTGAAGAAGAAGAAGAAGAAGAGGAGCCCAAAAGAAAGTCCCACAGGGCAACCCTGTGGCAAGAGATTCCTAGCACGCAGGCTTGTCCTGAGCCACGGGTGAGAAATCACCAGCCTGGCAGATGCTCAAGCCCTCGAGCACTCTGTGGCAGAGATTTTTCTCTGGAAGTTTTCATGCAGCCAACAGGATGCCTGCTTCAGGGCAGATGGGAAGATTGTCACTGGGGAGCTTGCTGCTTTTATTTTCAACAACACACAAGTTAGTCTGGGATATCTATTCTTCCTCATCTTTTAAAAATAACACTTCTAAAAACATAAAAGCAACACAAAATGATTGCATAAAAACCTAAAACACAGGGAACCAAATGAAAAGAGAATTAAAGTACTGTGTAATTACACCGAGATAACCACTGTTGGCATCTGAATACATTTCTTCCCAGTGTAGTATCTGTGGGTATAGATAAGTAGATAAATGTTTTAAGCAAAAATGGAATCCTGCTGTGACTAGATTTTTCTGTTCTGATTTTTTCCCCCTTTACTTTGATCACGATGATTTCCAGACATTGGTTCCACTGCAGCAGTATCAGGTGGTTCCACTTAACCATGAACTACACAGTTGGGTCACCAGTTGTTAACCCTCTGTGCTTGTGACCACAGGCCAAAGGGGAAATTGGTGCTTGGCCCTGGTGAGGGGGAGTGGTCTAAATGTGGCTCGTGGGTGACCTGTCTCCAGTGACAGGCCAGATCCCTGGAGAGCCCCTCACCTGTGCTTCCAGCTAATGTCATCTCATTGGCTTTGTGGGTTCCCCCGGAAGCTCAGGTGCCATGAGAAAGTTCCACAGTCAAGATGATGTTGAAAGGTTAAGGAAATGGGTCTATGGTATGCTCTAGAGTCAGCTCTGTCATTTTCAAGCCATTTCAGCTTCCATGTGTTCGTTCATACCGGCAAGAAACATTTCCAGCGCTGTGTGGTGCAGAGTTTTCCAGGGCGATTGCAACATGCCTGTAAGCTTTGGATCTGGCTAAACCAAAAGATGGCACATCTCAAAGTTGCGCTTTGAGGGCAGCAGGGATACCAGATACTCATTGAAAAGATGCTTTCCTTCACAGCTGCTTTCAATTTAAATAACCACCTATTAAGACAAGACAGAGTGTACTTTCTGGAATACAAAAATAAGGGAAAGGTAGTCCAAAAGCAACAACAGACAATTGGCTTGTCTTTTAAACATTTTGTTAGTGTTCTGAAGAATGAAGAAAAAAGGAGAAAGATCTAGGGTGGTGGTCAACAAACTATGCCCTGTGGCCCAAACCTGGTCCACCACCTGTTTTGTGAATACATTTTGGTAGACTACAGCTACCCTCATGTGTTTATAAATAGTCGGTGGTAGCTTTTGTGCCATGATGGCAGAGCTGAGCAGTTGTGACAGTGACCATATACCACAAAGCCTGGCATACTTAGTACCTGGTCCTCTACAGTATAACAGTTCTGAACCCTGCATTCAAGAGGGGCTCAAGGCTAATGGAGGTGGAAAGGCAGCCACTGACAGATGGATAGATCTGGGGGCAACAAAGTAGGGATGGCCAAGGGATGGAAGACACTCAAGGATTTCACTGCCTGAACCTCACTCCTTGATTAACGCTTTGCATCACTGATTTGTGATGGCGGCTTTGGGCTGCCAGCTCAAAACCTGAACTCTTGGGGATCCTCATCAAGGGTCCTTTTAGCTCTATCTCGATGGATTGCTGCCAACTTCAAGCATCTATGTGGGTGTTAACAGCTCTTCCCAGCAGGACTCGCCACCCATTTCTAAAATGCTTTCCCCAAGAACACTGGGAAGATCAGCTCTCCAGCACCTATGACTGTGCTTGCCTCCAAAACATCAGCTCTCAGTGTGGAGAAGCACGGGGCAGGGCATTGCTCCGGCCATGCCATCGGTCAGTCCATTCTCAGATGTGTGCCCCACACTGTGTTTTCTCACCTAGTAGGGGGCAAACAAGAGTCCTGCATTGTCCGTCTGATCGAGGGACTCTGGGGCAGTTGATGAGCCTGTGGGCCTCCACCCAAGACCTTTGCACTTCTCTCTGGCTCTTTCCATAA